ATTTACTTTTGAACTTCTGGATATATACCAGTGGAGCTGGTACGACAAATGTTTGTCGCTTTCAAATCTATGTAGAACTTGTGGTGCAATGGGCTGGATTGATGCTGCTTCACACAATCTATGAGTTTCCTCCATTGATTCCTAGCTGCTCCATTTCAACGAAGAATGGACAATTAACAGCTTTTAAATACTACTTTTGTGCCGGGGGCCCTTTAAAATAATCGCATTTTAATCTTTTTGACTCAGACCTCAAAGAGATGTTAGAATTGATAATTACCAAGTCAGGTTGAACATCACATTCTCCGCGAATAATAACAAGCAATCGACACTGATAGCACTGAGAATTCTAACGAAGTTTTCAGTGCTATTAGTGTCGACTGCTTCAATGACTCAATGTTGACTGATTAGCTACCATTATAACTACAACAGCGTATCATCTTCAGTGCAATGCAAGGTAGAAGAACTAGAACAAAGAGAGTTTGAAGTTTCTTGGTACACAGACAGTGATAGCCTTCCAGATTCTGAAGAAGCTTTTATGCCTCCTACAAAGACCCAAAAGATTTCAGGGGAAGTAAAAGTTAGTCTTCAGCTTAGTATGGATGAACTTCTAAACAATTGGATCCTAATTATGACAAGATATGGTATTGGTGTTTGACCAGGAACCTGTTTATTGGCATCTCTTTATAAAGTTGGCGGTATTAACATTGAGCAGTTGAAGATCTCAAGATCAACTCTGACTCGGAAAGCACACACTTACTGTAGTAAAGTCAGAAGCCCAGATTATCCGATTGCGGAACATAGACAAAGTAGGAGATTTAAAACTAGTGATTCACTTTGATACTAAAATTGTAAGGTAGTACACCAGTGAAGAAGCAATTTCCACAAGTCATGAAAGGAAGCGTTTCTTCGCCTGAAGCTGACCCTTTAGATTTTCTGCTTGGTATTTTGAAAATTAAAAGCTCCAAGGAGAGCGACCAAGCTGTAGCTATTCAAAGTATCCTCGAATACTATGAGCGATCTGATCAGATCATTGAGGTGTGTGCTGACACCACAGCTAGCAACACAGGAAAGAACAATGAAGCTATAAGAAATGTTATTGTTCATGCTTTGAGGAGGCTTGTTTTACGGCTAATGTGCAGACATCACATATATAAGAGACATGTGTCTCATATCATAGAACTTGTTTTTGGTGCAACAAAAAGTCCCAGAAAATACTTCTATGTTTTACTTCAGAAGCTATGGTCGCAAATACACAGAGAAGTTAATAAACTTGAAATAATTGTCAAATTTGAATGGTCTTAGGATGCATTTAGACCAGGTACTCTTTTACACAAATTTGCAGTTGAAGCTAAAGAATTTTGCACCACAACTCTTTAGAGAAATACTTTCCAAAGAGGAGAATAAAAGTATTTTTCCCAGCTACTGGCTTACTTCCTGGGTGCAGATATACCTAATTTTTTTTATAAGCAGCCGGGAGCTCACCATGAGGCCAGGTTTATGAGTGACTGTCTTTACCTTTATGTCCTGCAGATGACACAAAAGTATCATCCGAATGTTTCAAAAACAGTAGATACTCTCAAGAACATGAACACTGTTAAAAATTACATTGTGTTTTTCCATTAATTCAAAATAGTTTTTCCAAAAATTACATTGTGTTGTGCCTTTTACGGCACACTTGGTATCAGCTTGTAACTTTGTCTCTTGCTAACAGGGATCTAGATGCTGACAATAATGTCTGCAAATACAAAAATGTCTGCAAAACTTTTTAAAGTATTTTCATATCATTTTATTTAATAAACTAAACTATTATTTTCAAATTTTATTGCTTGGATTATTGAATTATTTTACAAAATAACCTGCTTTTTTAATTTTATTTATTATTTTCTAGGTTGTCCATAAAAAACAGACAGCAAGTATCCAAGAAAGTTACAAAAAAGTACCTGCAGAACATCTAACAAGTATTACAACTGATCAAATCATCGCGTTTTTGCTGCTTTTCAACTCTATTTAGAACAATTATATGAAATTAAATTGTCGCACAAGATCTGTATTTTCCTTATTCTATTAGATATATTTTAAATCGAAACCAGTGTTTTGTGAGTGTCTTAAATTTAAAACTATCAATATTCGGAACTTTAAAATATAATATCAGAAAAAATTCTATTATATAAAAATTGACTAAAACTACCTTCTTTACCTTAGAGTTGATTTGAAAGGCTGAAATTTTTACTATAAGCAACTAATATGTAATGATAACGGTTAAAGCTTTCCACATTTTCATTTTCAAAAAAAAACTTTTTTTGAGACACCCTACTGTGCACTTGTGCTATAATTAATATCACCTATTTTCTTGGCATATGCAAAAAGATCTTTAAAGTTGTTAAAAAGAATTAAAACACATAAAAGACAAAGTAGGCGCAAAACATCTTGTCTAAACTTATTAGCTATTGAAGCAAAAATAACAGCGCAAATAGCTTTAAAAAGTTTTAAAGACCGTTTTACTGCAAAACAGGAATAAATTTTCTATTAGACTTTCTACTAACTAGACTTAAATGGTGTAACACTGGTTTTTATTTCATTAAATTAAAATTGTATTAAAAAAAAAGGGTTTTGCTTTTGTGTAGGGGTGGGGAGGAGGGGGTAAAGAATAATTTTTTGGGCCAAGACTAAAATTTTGCGGGGTAGGGGGGGTTGTCGCTACCTTACTGATTAGCACTTAGTACAAAATTTAAGAGTTAGGCGCTGAAAAGCGACTACATTAGTATATAAAATATTATATATTAATATTGGCGCTTTTTAGCGCCTACATTAATATATAATTGTTATATTTATGCGTCAGAACCTTTTAAAAGCCTAAAAGCAACAATAACACCAAAAATAGATAAATAATTAAATATTATACAATGCGTTATTGCATATTAGAAGTAATTCATTATATCGTTTATAGACAAAATAGTTTCTTTTTAGTTTATTTTTAAAAAAGTTCAAATGAAGTTGATAATTCAAAATTATTCAAAACAATTTTCTTCCAGAATAAGGTACACTATATCCAATACAAAATTGATTAAACTTTGTATGACAAAGTGGTTCATTTAACAAATTATCATTTCGCAAAATATATTTGTTTATTTTTTTGAGTCGGTATATTTTGAGGATTCACCCTCATTTTATTTGTAGAACCGCCTCTGCGTCCAGTCACCACATTTGATTTGATTGTTACGTTTTGGTTTGGTTGTAACATTTTTATTTGGGTTTGTGACGTGTTATAACAACGCACATGCACAAAAGCTTTTCTTTAATTTTTATTTTCTAGTCAAAAAGAAAACAAGAAATAAAAACAAATAAAGTGTTCAAGAAGTTTTGAATCAAAACAAAACAACTAGCAAATAAATTGTTTTTTAAAGCCCAATTATCAATTATTTTGAAACCAAATATTTAAATAGCAAAAGGTTTTCACATTAGTACTATATTTGCATCAAAATAACAAGTGTAAAATATTTATTTTTTTGATGTCGGTTTTTTTATGCAAAGAATCGTCAAGTTATTTTACATGTATATAATTAAATTTAATCAAGTTAGGCATATATGGGCAGGATTGAAAAGTTTTGTTTTTCAAATGAAATGACCTTTGTAAACTAAATAGGAAATTCAAAAAAAAAGTTTAGAAGAGGGCAAACTTACCTAACATACTACCTATAAATATCTATTTAATTTTGAGAAAAGACATTATTCGAAGAATTCTAAATTTTTAGTTATAGGCATTTAAAACTTTCTTTTTTTAACAATTTTAACGGCCATAACAAAAATTTAATATTTCACATGCAATATCTTTACCTCAAATTAAATAGGTCTTTATAGATAGCAAGTTAGGTATTATTGCCCCCTTCTAAACGTTTTTATTTTATTTTGAATTTCCAATTTAGTTTGCAAAGGCTATTCCTTTTAAAAAAGACTTCTCAATCCTGCCCATATTTATATAAAGAGTTTACTAAAGGTTTCATCAAATAATCATAAAACAACAAAGCATTGCAAGTGCAATGAAAGTGCGCCACCAATCAAATAGCATTAATTCACAAGGAAAAATTTACGTGAATACCTAAAAAAACCTAAGGGTGGAGTGTAATGTAAACACTTTTCCTCCTACAACAATTTTAAAATAATGTTTAGGAATTCAATATCATAAAGAGAAAGGAAAATAAAATCACTTATATATATATATATATATATATTTATATATATATATATATATATATATATATATATATATATATATATATATATATATATATATATATATATATATATATATATATATATATATATATATATATATATATATATATATATATAAATATATATATATATATATATATATATAATATATATATTTATATATATATATATATATATATATATATATATATATATATATATATATATATATATATATATATATATATATATATATATATATATATCAATAAAGGCTCATCAGAAATCAGATTTCTGATGAGTCTTTATTGACGAAACACAGTGTTAAATGAAAAAAAATTTTGTTTAGTGATTATCTACTACTTTATATATATATATATATATATATATATATATATATTATATATATATATATATATATATATATATATATATATATAAATTACAAATAAAAAGGATATACATATATATGTAATATATATATAAATTACAAATAAAAAGTATATACATATATATGTAATATATATATATATGTGTGTGTGTATGTTTTTTTTAGATGTAATTTATATATTATTGTTATTACACACATAACACAAACTGTTTTGTGTTGTGTGTGTGTGAATTATAAAACTATATTCGAAATGTTTTGAATATAGTTTCATAATTTTGCATAACAAAGAATTTTTTTTTTCTTGGCATTTTATAACTGACATTTAAGTGTTCTTTGAAATTTTGATGTTTGAGCAAAAAAGAACTTTTAGACGTTATATTATTAACTTGTATAACAGGTATTAGGTGACAACTGATCAATACCATGTGTTAGAAGAGTTTATTATAAAGTGTTGGAAAAATACAGAGCAGTCTTAAAATTTATGGTAGTTTGACCTTTTAAACATACAAGCAATACATTATTTGATATATTTCAAAAGATTAAAGATAATATTGTAAAGAGTTGTTGATAGATTGAAAATTCCACTGACTTCACTGCAGTTCATTGCCGTTTTTCATTATTTTTATGAGTTACCAAGGTTAGAGAACTTTTTTATTTTAAATTGTTAAAATTATTTTTTTTTTTAATTATTCAAAAAATAGTTTTGCAAAGTTAGAGAGGTTTGTATAATACAGTAGCATCCTGTTAACTCAGACCCTGGATATGTTGGACTTTTACTAAGTCAAACAAATTTTCAATTCTCCTTAAATTCTCTATATATACCAAAAGCTTCGCTTAACTCGGACATTTGTTAAGTCGGACAAAATATATATACCCGTTCAGAGTCAGAGTTAACAGGATTCTACTGCAGTTTATTAATTTACGTATTATTATTATGTATAAATTATATTAATTCCTTTATCCATAACATGGTTTGAGTTGAAAAATGAATATTTTTTGATTTTTAAAAACTGGTTTTAATTAAGTTATAAAGTAGTAATAAAATAAATAAAATAATACTAATAATTATGCTAAACTGATAAAAAGTTATCAACCTAATTAAGCCTTAAGTGTAACATGACCCATAGTGTTTGACCTTTAATATGATTTTTTGTTTTCTCTCAAAATGTTTGAAAAAAAAAACTTACATTATAATGTTTTAGTTTTAGCTTAAACTTTAATTTTATAAAAATATTATCAGATTGTAATTGTAAATTTAATTGAAATTCATTAAGAAATTAACTTGTTTTTACCTCATAAGTACTACTTATTTTAATGGTATTGACAGGGGGCAGTACATTTGTATATTGTTAACTGTACATTTGTATATTATTAACTGTACATTTAGTATTACATTTGTATATTATTAACTGGAGTACATTATTAGTATATCATTTTCATATGCATATATCTTTTAAATCTTTAATTGAAATAAATATTGATTTGAGTTTTACAAAAACTAATATTACAATATTTTGATGGGGTGTATTAAGAATGTACTGAGTGTTTTCAGGAAAAGTAAGGAGTAAACTTAGCATCAAATTTCTCAGTGTTATTATGTCATTATTATGTATGTAGCAGATAAATTTTTGTAGATACCTGTTTAAATACATTGTCGATTTTGCTATTCTAGTGATGATTATGAAAGTGGAATATGATTAATTGTTCTGGTAGATTAAGGATGGTTTTGAATGCTCAATATTCATTTAAGTAAATATATAAATATATATATCAGAACTATTCTAGACCCTTTTTTTGACAGTGCTGACCATATTTGGGTGCCAATTTGGGTGCACCTAAATTCAAGAGTTTAGAACTTTTTTTTTTTTAATTTTTTTTCCTGGCAAATATTGTTTTTTTGCACAAAAAAAAACCTACATACGGCATTTCCACTTGTTCTTCTACATATATATAGTTTATTTATTCTACATATATTTATTCTACATATATATAGAACAATAACATACGCCAAATATTGCTTTAAAAGGTTTTTAAAAATTTAAAGGCTTTTTCCAAGTAGTTTCAAACAAATTTATTTATTTCTGCAAATGTTACATTTAATGCTCTGGCTCTTGAATAAATATAACAAATTCTTCCAAAATTTTTTAATAAATTTTTTTTTTCAACTTTTACAGTCAAGTCTGCTGTTCATGATACAGTCTTGTCACTTAATCTTGACACACATTGCATCAGCCTTAGAAACCAATTTTGATCAAGAGTTTGATTTGTTATAATCCTCTAATATCTCCAAGTATATCATCTTTTTTATAGCTTACATCGTCAATAAAATTATCTTTTTTATAAAGTGTGTCAATCACAAAGAGGTTTTGTATGTGGTTATGCAAATGAGTGTATAAATAAAAAAATAAAATATGATAAATAAGAAATAAGATTTAGAATAAATAAAATATATATAAAAAAAGACTTAATATATATATATATATATATATATATATATATATATATATATATATATATATATATATATATATATATATATATATATATATATATATATATATTAAGTCTTTTTTTATATATATTTTATTTATTCTAAATCTTATTTCTTATTTATCATATTTTATTTTTTTTAATAATGATTTTAATGATTTTTTAATAAACACATATTTTGAATTTTTAAAAGCAAATAAAACCAAAATGGTTGGTTTTGTTCCTTCTTGTTTTGTTTATGGCTTATTTTTTTTAATTTCATTAAAAATCATATACTTATTTACTGATATATACAAAAAAAATATGTAAACTGTATATAAAATGTTTATTAATTTGAATATCAATAAACATTTAATATCTATGGAGAAAAAAAGGCTAGGCTTTATTCATTAAAAATAGACTTAGGCATACATGCTATGAATTGTAAAAAGGTGTGTTCTTAACTATAAGATATTCCAAATGAATTTGCCTCTATATCTTTAAATTCTAATGAAGTTGCTTCTTAATTGATTTTTGTTTGATTTTTGAATAACGAAAATTATTTAAAAATCAAACAAAACCTCGTTTTTATATTTTATGGTAAGTTCTTGTTATCAAATTTTTCTTGCCGACCTTATGCCAACCTCTAAAAGATTGAGGTTGGCAAATTATTGCCAACCTCATTTTATCTGATTCTGAGGGTTGATGTATATATATATATATATATATATATATACATATATATATATATATATATATATATATATATATATATATATATATATATATATATATATATATATATATATATATATATATATATATATATATATTATATTGTATGATTTACATTAATAACTTTTTTGGAGTAAATTTTTTAAGAGTATATATATATATATATATATATATATATATATATATATATATATATATATATATATATATATATATATATATATTGCATAAATTACATATGTATATTCTATTTAAATGCATAATGTTGGAATGTCTTCAAGTATGTGTCTAACTATATTATCATATGCTGCAAAATTTTATATTTTAATCACATTTTGGTTCTATATTTTTTAATCTTTAAAAATTTTTTGTATCATTTTATATTTATACTTTATTTATTTTTTAGGAAAAATATATAACAATGTTTTATAGAGAAGAAACAATAGGTAAGCAATTTAAATACATTTAGTTTCATTTAATTATACTATGGCATCATTTGTGTATCAAAGATCATACCCAAGATGGAAGGAGCCTTTTAATTTTAAAAATGAGAATGCTCATTCAACTCAACAAAATAAACTACAGAAACAAATGTCATTATCTAAAGAATATGGTAGTGCCATTATATCACGAGATTTAGCTAAAGAAGACATGTTAGTTAGTACATCAACAGTTAAAGTTGAAAATGACAATGAGTCAACAAATTTAGATGATATTAAATCACTATGGGGTATTAAATTAAGACATGTTGTAGTGAAAGATAATCAATCTTCTTCAAATTCTAATGAAGTTGATTCTTTGTTTGATTTTGGTTATTCAAAAAGTCCTACAGAAAATGATTCTGGAGGTTTTGTTAAAAAGGTTAAGAAATTAGATCGCAGCATTTCATTAGATTATTTAGCCAAGGACTCAAATTATGTAAATAAAAAAAATAATATTAGTTTAAACAACCAAAAAAGTTATGAAATATTATCTGATGTTATAAAACCAGAAAAAAAACCTAAAATCAGAAGAACTAAAAGTCTTTTTATGCAAACTATAAGTAATCAGATATTTTATCAACCGGTTGATACTGAAGTTTTTGTTAAAAAACCTGTTCTAAACCTTGAAGAGCTTTTAATGAAAGATGAAAAAAAGCTAAGAGGTACTGTTTATAATGAACAAATATCAAACGATATACCTGAGGAAAAAATGAACTTATTAAACATTAGCAAACCAGAAATAGTTAAATCTCCTATTTCAAAGGAAAAAACTATTTCTGAAAATGTTCAGTTAAATAAGGTATCAAATTTTGATATAAAAAGTAAGGATAAAATTCTGATAAGTTCTAAAGAGAAAAAAAATCCAGAAGTAATACACTACCCAATCAGCACAAACCAATTTGCAACTTCAACTGAATTAGTTTCATCAAAAGATAGCAAAAGTATTAAAAACCAACAGCCAGATGTTAAAATTTTGAAAAAAATGAGTTTGCAACCTTCCATAAATTATAGTCCCATCAGTGTCGTAAAAACTGATGTAATTCCTGATTTTAAAAAAAACATTGTGTTTAATAAAACTGATGCAAACCCAGCTTCAGAGTTTAAAAAAAAAAGCACTGTTTCTAATGAAACTGATGCAAGTACAGCTCCAGAATTGAAAAAAAACATTGTCTTTAATAAGCTGGGTCAAGTTATAGTAAATGATTATGATGCTAAAGAACCAAAAGTTTCAAATATTGATATGAAAGATGTTTTACCAAAAGAAAGCTTAGATTCAACACTTTCTGTTGGAAACTCAAAAGAAATGGCTAACAGCAATCAGTCAACCACTGTTAATACAAAAGTTGATAACAGTAGTTATGTGTCTAGTAATCAGTCATCTGGGGTCAAAGTTTACCAAGAAGATGATCACAAAATAAATAAACATTCAGAAGAAAAAATACCTATTTCAAGCAGTATTTTTTATGAAAATAATAATATTGCAAGTACTAATTTTAACTCGTATTCTTCTCTTAAAATAATAGATTCAAAAATCTCAAAATCTATAGAAACAAATATTAAAGAGAATCCTAGTAATGTTGTTATAGAGCGTATTAATGATATATCTAAAAAAGAAAATTTTACTCAAAAACCTTATTTGGCATTTGACTTAAATCCTAATAATCAACGCATCAGTCGATTAACCATTATACCAGGGGTTGATAGAGATGCACAACTAGAATATGGTAAATATCAAATTGGAGTTAAAAATCTGAATGGTAGTAACAACTTACAGAACTTTAAAGTTTTAATATTTACTTCAAACAATCTCGATGAGGAGTTTAGCGAGGAAGAGTTGTTTGTTCCTAAGGTTGTTTACAATGGAGTAGTGGAGCAAATCAAGTCTATTTTGTTGACTAATAAATTATCTGGTCAAAAAGTGAGTTGAACTTTGTTTCTTAAATATTTAAAAAACAGTTTTTTCAATTTATTAGACAAGTTATTAATTTTTTTATTATTATTATGTATGTTATTATAATTAGTTGCATGACATAAATGTACATACACATACGCAGGCACATGCTCACACACACATATCAAGCTTATTTGTTTAAGCCATGACTTAAGTAAATATATTTATTATTTTTGATGACTAGGGTACAGCAACAATAATAGGTTTTTTATAAAAAATAAAATTTAAGCTTAGGAAAAGATGTATTCCTTTTTACAATTTCAAGGTAGGTTTGTTAAGGACCACTTTTTAATTAAAAAATGTTTTATTAACATCAGTTATAATTGAAATAATAAATTATAATTATGAAATAAAAAGTCTTTATGTATTAGTCCCTTATTAAGAATGTAGAGCTGAAGTCAAGTTTAAAATATTTTTGACTTTTCACTGTAAAAAAAATAGAAACATTTATATTTTTGTTTTTTTAAGGTGAAGATTTACATTCTAGTATTTATAAAAACAAGAATGTAATTAAGCATTTTTTTATTTAATTTTATATTTGTTTTTAATCTTAAGAAATTCATAACTTCGTCAAAAGCTTAGACTAGACATATATCAATCACCAGTGCTTCTGAGTTTATTAGACCTAGAAAAGATTTTATTTTTAATGAACTGGCTACAAACAGAGCAGTTATTCAAAAAGAAAAAAGCATAACATGCAATCTATGAATATTCTAACTGAGATCTTGCTCATGACCTAATTCCGCTTTTTTCTAAAAAATTGCAACTATGGAGTTTAGATGGTTAAAGAAATAAGACAGGTTGATGATACTTGCTAAAAAAGATTGAGACAATGAAACTTTTTTTTTTTCATTTTTATTTCTAACAAAGCTGCAAGCAACCACTATTAGAGTTGGAAGTTACTGAAAAAGGAAAGATAAAGTTATAAAGCAAGATAACGAGCAAATTATATGAATCAGGAAAACAAGATGAAGGGAGCAAATTCTAAAGAACTAATGTTCAAGGAAAAAATCTAGAACTTTATTTATAATTTAGTACATTAACTATATAACTTACGAATCCAAAACTCTAGAAAGAAGTTTTAAGTCAAGAAATCCACATTTAAAAAATATAAACGTAAAGTAAAACATAATAGAGCAACTTGCGTCATGTTAAAAATAAATACAAATTTTTATTATGTAATGAAAAGTAATGAAGTGTGTTATATAAAACTGTGAATTAAATTTTTTTGTTTTCGTTTCACCAAAAAATTTCAATTCGCATGCACAAAAGCTAGATGTACTCCATGTTCTGCAGTTTGTCAGGACCATGTCAATTCATAAATTTTTCCCCTAGTACTAAACAATCTTTTGCTGAACACAGAAGAAGGCGGAGCTCCTAAATATTTTTTTGGCAAGGTATGAGAGGTCTAAAATATTATTCTACTAGAATGTTTCTTTATACATGTATTTTTGTAATTTCCCCACCATTTATATGGACATTCTTTTTGATGCAGATTAGGCAATGATAAGTAAAAGTTTATTTTATCAGTTCTAAAAGAAAAATAAGTAAATAAAAAATATAAAAACTAAACTATAATGCAAAGTACTAGTTTTTACTATATTAATGAATATTAATGAGTGTTAATGAATTTTATCATTTTATCTTACATTTTTTCCTTTTTCTCTAAATAAACTTGTGCCTCTGTTAAAAGTTTTTTACAGTTCTTTACTTTTATTGATTTTTGTTGATTCAGTGTCAAGAGGTGCTTTTGAAACTTGATAAAAATTGTATATATTTTCTGCCATTTTTAATTTTTTGAGTGGAGAGTTTAGTTATTTTGTTGATTCAGATAAACTGTTTGTTTCATTATCTGATTGAGTTTAGTTGTCGGTAATTAAAAGGCAATCTGCATTATCAGTTTTATTTAGGTTCATGTATTTCTCTTGAATATTTGATTTTATTGTGTCTTTCTCCTCATCTGATATGACATAACTAAATTTAAATCTTGGATCTAAAACTGTAGACATGTTCAAGTTTTTTTTATATTTATAGCTGGGAAACCTTGAGGTAAAATCTTTTTTCACCTGTATTTTCTGAAGCGTAGGCTAGGTATGCTTCCATTGAAACTATAAATGGAATAATTTGAGACACTGATGCCCTATTTGTAGCTGCCTCAAAATCCTTTAAAACTAAGATAAGCGTCTCAGCTAATAAACATTGGTCTTCATTGATCATTAAGATTAGAGGCATTACACTTTTGATTTCTAATAAAAAATAATGTTAGTAAGGTTTTTTGTTCAACTAGCCTTTCTAGCATGTAAAATGTTGAGTTTCATCTTGTTATTACATCTTTTATAAGTGAATGTTGGGGTAACTTTAGCTGTTGTTGAATTTCATGTAGCATTTTCATGGAAGACAAAGAATGATGAAAGTGTCCATGGAAGATGAAGAATGATGAAAGTGTCCATGGAAGATGAAGAATGATGAAAGTGTGTGACATTTTTTCTATTTTCATTTTTTCATAAACTAAAAGAACAACTTTTTTAGTTATATATTTTTTAGAGGGCATGGTATACCTTGGTTCAAGATGCATAATTAGTTTGTTAAATCCTTGATCTGTAACTAAAGAATACGGTTGAATGTCTACACATATTATTTCTCCAATAAGCATAGTTATTTTTTGAGCTCTTTGTTCACTTGAAGTCCATTTCCTATGCTTATTAATCAAAAATCTTCCATTCATTCATTATAAAAAATGAAATCGTTTTAAGTTGAAGAAAATGACAAAAATAAATATTTGTAAAACGAGCTTTTCAATTGAAGTAATTGTTCTATTTGACAAGAGAACAATAAAAAAATAAATGGAAAATAAACTTCAACAGTAATAACTTAATATGTTGCTTTCATTGTCACATAAATGGAATGTGGCATTTCCATTCAGGCGTATATTTCCATCATGTATTCGATTTCAGGGCCTGGACCCATTAGCATCAGCATCGGCCAAAAGCAGGTTTCGGTACATCCCTAGTAGAGAACCAACATTACGATGATGTGACAATGGTTGAAGGTTGACTACAAGATTTTGTAAAATTGCAGTTGTTTACAAGATTACAAAATTTTGTACAATTGCAGTTGTTTACAAGATTACAAATTTTGTACAATTGCAGTTGTTTACAAGTTTACAAATTTTGTACAATTGCAGTTGTTTGCAAGTTTACAAATTTTGTACAATTGCAGTTGTTTACAAGTTTACAAATTTTGTACAATTGCAGTTGTTTACAAGTTTACAAATTTTGTACAATTGCAGTTGTTTACAAGTTTACAAATTTTGTACAATTGCAGTTGTTTACAAGTTTACAAATTTTGTACAATTGCAGTTGTTTACAAGTTTACAAATTTTGTACAATTGCTCTTGTAGTCAAGAAGGTTGACTAAAAGAGCAATTGTTTACAAAATTGACAAGTTGACAAGTTGACAAGACAAAATTGACAGTTGTGTTTTTGCACTTTATCTAAAAGAGAAAGGGCGTCATTCGAAGGTCCGCTCCAGTATTCCATACAAAGGCAGATTTGAGATTTATAGAGATAAAGAATATTCCAGAATTTTTAAAAATAGAGATAAAAGATGCTGCTTTTCAGCAAGCTGGAGAGCAAGACTCTGATAAGCATTTGTTAAATAGTTTTGAAAGTATAGATGACAGCTCTGGAGAACACTTTTGCAAGACTATAACAAGTATGTTGTCCAGACCAACCTTTACTCAACCAATAGCTCCAAGGCAGGGGGTTTTTTAAGTCAGAGTTGGCATCTCCTAGCTTTTACCTAAAAAAGCCTATCCTACAAGGCAGCAGGACATGAATTTGACTTTAAGTAATATCAAAGTTCTTTTTCACAAGCATTAGTCATTATTAATGACATTAGCCAATGCAGCATAATGTGCTAAACTCTGAATACCTGATTATTTTGCTGTATTAGCTGTGGCTGTATTATTTTTCTAGGTAGTATAGCTTTAAGAAAATCTGATTTTCTTTTAGGAGATGTTGGTTTTTTTTTTCTATTTATTTTTAATATCGTTTATATAAAAAACTTTTTTCTTTGATCTGGTATCTTTTCCTATTTAATTTTAAACAACAGAAAAAAGCAAGAGAAAAGTCAGCAACAATATAGCTTACCCAAAAGGGATTTTAAAAAACTACTCTCTTGTGCTTAATGCAAAGGAGAATTGAAAATTTTAGTTCAGATCTAATAGTGGGGTGGTCATTAAAAGGAAGGGTGGAAATTTTTTACAGAACATAAATAGAAACAGAAATAAAACAATTTTAATTCTAGAAGTATAACAATTTAAATCTAGAAATAAAAAAAATTAAATAAAAAAATTTAAAGAAATAAAACAATTTAAATTCTAGCATGGCTTGTTGTCAAATGCACATTTTTTACAGCTGTTTTGTCATAATTTTTAATAAGACTTAATATAATTGTATAAGTGTTAAACTATGGTGAGAAATAAATTATTAAATTATTATAAACACTAATAATAATTGGCTTTAGGTTAAAGGAAAAGATGAAATAGAATTATACAAAGAAAATCAAAAGAATAGTTCTTTAAGTTTTCCTCTTAATGAAAACTATGATGAGTTAAATATACTTTAAAACAAGATAATGAAATTAGTTTGTTCGTAGAAAAGCTTCTATATGAAAAGTTATTTATAATCTTGTAGTACTTTATCTAGTAAAGAAATCAAGAAGAAACACTAAGTCAGTAATAAACAAACCTAAAGCTAGCATGAGGTGATTAAAAAAAATAAGTTAGTTTTATTTTAATTGTTTGGGATTTCACCTGCCACAAGATGATCTTTCTTAGTTAACAAGAGCAAGGAAAAGAGTCATGACGATTGCAAAGAAAAATGATAACTTAAATGTTTCAAATACGTATAATATTGGCATTTACCTTGGTGGTAGAAAAGATTCAATAAGGAAAATAATAAATAATTTAAATGGACAATTAAATCTTATTATTATCAAATAATATATTACAGTAAATACAGGTACTGTATTTACTGTAATATATTATTTGATAATAATAAGATGTAGTGGTCAATATCTTTGTCATTTAACCCTAGGTGCACCTATTTATCCTCTTGAAAAGGTTGCTGAAGTTTTTTATTTGTTGCTGCAACAATATAAAACGTGACTCTGTAAAACTTTACAGAGTCACGTTTAGCACTTGCAGCAGATAATAACATAATTAACCTCGGCTGGGTAAGTGGTGTTATGGCACATCTTGAAAAGCTGTTAGTTCACAAGCTGTTATGTCACTGGGCCATATAATCATGCTTTATTTAAATGAGTTTTTCTTGCTCCACCTAATAAAAGGAATTGATGGACCAACATCATGTAATAAAACTTCTCCCTGTCATTAAAATGTCTCCATGTCATTAAAATGGAGTATAATCCTCAATTTAAAGCTAAGTCATGTCAACAGACCAAAAACAGTCTTACAAATTTTGTAAAACAGTTAGGATTGGTGAGTAATCTTAGAGAAATTTAGTGTGATCTCTTAAGTCATGTCAGATGACTCACTACTGGCACAAAAAAAAAGTCTTTATGTGGTCAAAGAAACATGAATCAAGTAATAAAAATTCGGAAAATCTTGACTTATTTATCACATTCTTTCACAGTTAAAAACTCTTAGAAATCAAGCAGATAGGGTCAAGGAAACTTTGACTTCATATATCTGGTTAGGATAAATTTGGAAGTTTCCAAATCAAATTCAGAAAAACTTAAACTGTGTTTACTTGTTTACTCACTAAAAATAAGTTGTTGCTAATTTTGAAACTTTTAAAAACTAAAAGTCATAATTAAAGTACTAAATTTCTAAAACAGAAAATCTAAAGGATTATTATTGACAAGTTCTTCAATCATTTAAGCCCTCTTTTAAACCTTCGTCCTCTCCCTTCTCCTCCCCTCCCCCCCCCCTAACTTTGTTCTATTTGTAAAAATGTGTGGTTAGCATTTATGTGAAATAATAACTCTGAAACAAGATTTCAAAAAAAATTGCAATTGTTTAATAGTAATTATTAGTATAATATTTAAAATGACATAAAAATACACAACAAATAAGACTTTACTTTTTTTTTTTAATTTTTAAAATTGCAAATTTGCAAAACCAAGTAAATAGAAAACTATTGAAATTTAATTTGTTTAATGTAAACATAACTATCAAAAGAAAATTTGTAATTTAAAGTAATAAAAACTTACTGTTCTAGAAAAAGGTGGTTTTTGCTGTTAAGAATTTAGAAACCATATATTCTTATCCTTCAGAAGATCCGATTGAAGATTTTTATACAGACTCTGACGTTGACATATTGCTAGCAGAGGAGAATGAGACTAATACTTCTATATTTGGTATTGAAAGCGCTATTCAGCAAGAGCGTGAACGTCTTATCAAAACTTATTATGAAAATCAAGTTCAAGAAAAAGTACAACCAACGCTCAGTACAGAAGGAGATCATTACCAAATTCATTCAGTTCAGGAAGATGGCGGAGTAATGTTATTTTAAAAGTGAATCGTTTAAATCTTTTAAAGATAAATGTAGATAAAGTTTTCTAATACTTGCTGCCATAGTTAAACATAAAGTTATCAAGAAATTTGCATTCGATACTTTTCATTCAATACTTTAAAGTATGTGCAAGGCAGAATTAATAACAAGGTTTTTTATGCTTTATTTTTGGTATTTTTTACTTTTTATTTTTGTAATAATCAATAACAAAGGTTTCCTAAAATATTGTTTTTTTTTATTTTTGTAAATTGATTTTTTTCTCTCTTTTTTTTATGTTTTTGAAATTTACTTAACCTTTAGTAAAGTTGAGTTAATTTTTAGTAATGAATTATAACAAAAAATAAAATTAATTTTTATTATTATGATTATTATTATTGTTATTATTATATTATTTTAGTATTACTTTTTATTAAATTTTCAAATCTATATTTGTATATAATTACAACGCCATAGACAGGACTTTTATGTATTTCTATAACTATTTTAAATTTTGTATATCCCGATATGTTCTGTATTATACACCCACGAAAAAGAACATGTTAAATTAAATTTTATAAAATCGTGTAATTTTTACATGGTGTTAATTAGCAAAAAAATTTTTAGATATCAAAGTTCATGTTTATCTTGGATATTAATCTAATTTTTCAATCATTTAAAAAAGTTAAAAGGTTTTGTAATTGAAAAAATCATCAGTTGATTCTATTATAAAATATTGTATTATTTTTCAGTATTTTTAAATTTTAAAATTTTTCTCAGAAAAAAATATATTTTATTCTTTTTTGTTTTGTTTATTTAGGTGCCCGGAGTACATATATATAACGGGTGGCCGTTATTTTCGAAATTTGGAAATCTGTAAATGTCAAGCTTTTAACTGTTCCATATTACTTATAAACATTTCCTGTGAAATTTTACAAAACTAGAATTTAAGGGTGCCTCACGAATAAAGCCTGTACACGAAATAAATGTGAAAGTAGAAAAACAACTAAAAAAAAGTAATCTTCAATTTTTATTTCCAACCAAGTAATAACTTTAATACAATAATATAAGAAGATCAAATATTAAAAAAAAATCAAATTATTCCTGTGTGAATCTAATAAAATTTCAAACTTTTACTTTGGTGGTACCCATAAGCTTGTGCACAGAATAAGAATTGAAGCCATTTGATGCTTTTTTTAATGATATTTTAATATCTTTAATATTTTTGCAAAGTTTTTTTGTTTTTTTATTTTTCTTTTAATAATGGCCCAGTACTTTTCAATAACTCTTAATTCTGGGCAGTTTGGAGGATTTTCTGTTTTAGGCACAAATTTCACATTATTATTTTTATACCATTCCAAAGCTAGTTTACAATAATGAATTGAAGCTAAATCTGGCCAGAACACAGGTCTCTTATCGTGTGATTTAATGAGAGGTAAAAGTCGTTTTTGTAAACACTCTTTAACATAAATTTGACCCGAAAGTCTGGACTGAGAAATATAAGGTGCTGATTTTTTGCCACATTTGCAAATAGCTTGCTTTGTCTTGTAAAAAAAACTCTTGATTTGTCAAGAGTTTTTTAGCAAACTTGTCATGTTATATGTATTTAAATTTCTTATCTGCTTTTCCTTTACATTTGGCAATATAATAGACGGCATCAGGAATTTCCTGATGATCGTACTTGATATAAGTTTTATCGTCTTTAATAATAAAGAAATTTTTAGAAATAAATTGTCGTACAACTTTCAGCAGCGGGGGTTTTTGCACTTTTTTGTTGAGTTTCAGATCGGTTAGGCACTTTTTGTGCTTTGAAAGAATAAAAATCATGTTTATTTCCAACTTTTACAACAAAACTATGAGAAAGTCTATAAATGTTTGCGCGCTCCCTTAGTGAAAGGATTGGGTTAGTCTTAAAACTGTTCACCATTTTTTTAACTAGTTTTTTATCTTTAAAAGATAATTTTACCCTTCTTTCTTCCTCCACCAGATTTACGTTTGATTGATTTTGTGTAAGAAAAATGTTGGATTACACAACTAACTGTATAGATGTATTTGCAACGCTTTTTCTATCGAATCGTAGCTACTATTGGGATTTTCCAAATATTTGTGCATAATTTTTTTCTCTTATGTCTTCTTCTTTTGTCATTTTTAAAACTAATTTTAAGTTTAATCAAAAAACTAATACATTTTTTTGAAACTACAACATGTTGTAAACAAAATACAAAACAATTAAAAAGATTTTAATATAACCACTGAAAAAAAATGACGTACTTATTCTTTCACATTTATTTCGTGTACACGCTTTAAACAATTTGTTTGAAGTACTGATTTGTTCTTCGTCGTGAGAAATTAATTCATCAATTCTTGCACAATTGCAACACCTCATTGCTGTGTCGTTAATTATTTTCAAATTCTTTACTATTTTTAGAGCATTGTTAAATTAATTGTTCTCATGCGAAATATTCGAGATCTTTGAGATCCAGATAACATGCTTTGAAATATTCACAAAAAAAATTAAATATTTTTTTACTTTAATATCACCAAGTTATTAAAGCTCTTCTTTTTTTTTAAATCTTCATTTGCATGCGATGAAGTATTATCATAATCATCTCGCCATGCGGCCGTGGCGCAGTGGTTAGAGCGCTTGCTTTATATGCAGGAGATCCAGGTTCAAAACGAGCTTTGGACATATTTTCACGTCACGTTAAGAAAGGAGGCGTGAACTTCCTGGTTAAACGCATTTCCGCGGTGCTCGGTGACAAGACTGTTAGGTCTTGGGGCACCTAAATAACAAACAAACAAAAAAAATCTCCTGAATAAAATAAATGAAAAGAGAAATTTGGAGCAAAAGGTTTAGTTTTTTACAAAAATAGAAGCTAACTTTGACTTAACTGTGAAACCAATAATATTGATAATTCATTGTCCTATTTCAAAAATGTAACCGTTAAACTGTCTTGCTGTTAGTTGACTCCAGCTTTTTTTGAAAAACATTGAATTAGTGTTTAATTGTTGTGCGAGTTTTTAAGTGTGAGAATACAGATAAAGCATTTAATATTTTCTTACAAACAATTTTTGATGTTTATAACAGAATCAATACGATTATACAACCTCAAATAATAAATATCAATAAAACATATATTTATTGTCAGGCCCAACGACACCAATCCAGTGGGTTTTCAAATTTTCGTGTTTGCTTTACTTTTTCCGATGACACAAAAATTTTATACAAAAATTTGATAACAGCATTATTTGAGGTGGCATTACTAACGGTAATATAAAATAGTGTAAAGTTGGATTACCATCTAAAATATTTTTAATAAACCGTATTTCCTTATAAAAAATTTTATTGCGATATATATATTTGTTTTGCGAATGCAAAACAAATAAATGGAAATATATAAGTAATATATTTTGACTTTATATTGGCCAAATGTGCAGACTAACTTAAAGCATACCTAGTATATATACTAGGTATGCTTTAATTAAGTTAGTCTAGTTATATATAACGTAACTAGCAGTACTTCAAAATATTTTTGTTTATTATATTTCCAATAATAAAATGTTGCTTAAAATAAGCTATAATGCGATATAGAGCTTTAATACTCAGTGTGAATGCTCTAAATGCTTTCCAGTACAACAAATACTTTTGAAAACAAACTCCAGTACAAATACATATTCATATAACAAATACTCTTGAAAAAGTCATTGTAGACTTCAAGATATTTGTTTTGGTTGGTCTTTAGGGAGCATTTAATAAACTTCATTGCTATTAAAAAAAGCCATTAAAGTTTAACAAATTTTTAAGAAGCGAAACGAAAAAGATTTATAATGATATAAACTATCAGTATCATTCTGACATGGTTCACCACTTGGACAGTTCTTTCAAATCTTTTTATGAGCAATTTTGAATAAAAGTGGTTAAAATTGTATGATGGAGTCAAACCAATCTTTTATAAAAGATATGTTGACGACATATTTTTGGCATTTCCTTCTAAAAATCATGCTTCCAGTTCGAGTTTTCTTGACTTCATAAATATACATAGAAGACACATTGTTTTTATAATGGAAAAAAAAAGTAGCATCCTTTTTAGATGTAACTATATCAAAAACTAATTATTTTATTTTAACAACAAATTTGATGAAAAAAAAATTGATGAAAAATCTTCAGCATATAAGGTTGGTTATTAATTTACGAAACAAAATCTGTTTTTTAGTTTTAATATTTTTAACCTTTTTAAAATATCAAAACAAAACATGTACCCAATTTGGTTTCTTGATAAAATTAACGCATGTTATATGATCAAATCTTTTTTTTAAAAATTGTCTGATGAACAAAAAGAAACCATTTTTTGTTTTGAACTTCCTTGGAAAGGCAAAATTTCAGATTTTGCTAAACAAAAGTTAAACTTTAATGATGGAAGATTTTGTCGGCCGTTTTCTGTGAAACTTTTTTCGCTTTGTTTGAATCATCTCATTTTTTTAAATTTTTTTTGAATAAAGATTCCTACCTTCCTATTAAGTTCAAATCTTTTGTAGATTACAAATTTGCTTGTGCAGGATGTAACTCCTGTTACATTGGCGAGGCATCTCGTCATTTTAAAACTCTAATGTTTAAACACTATAGGAGGGATGCAAGTTTTCATATATTTAAGCATTTTTTGATTCAAATGAAACATGCTTTTCTAAATTTAGTAATGAATGTTTTTTCAATTCTAGATGAAGCTGTTTGTACATAGAATGAAAGTTTATACATAGAGTGGCAAAAACTAAATGTAAACAAACTAGTCAAAGTGATGTTGACGGACTAAATCATTATTTTTTTTTTTCCTTTCTTTTCTTTATATTATAAGCATTTTACTTTTGTTTAACTGGAAATTTATTAAATGGTTTAAATTCAACCAACTTAAGTAGGTTATTTAGTCAAAATGTTTTTTTTTGTCTTAATGCGGTGTAATGGTCGAGTTACTTACTTCGAGTGCTTACTTTATATGCGAGAAGTTCGCAATTCGATCCCTACCCCGTTTCAGGTAGTACCGGTCTTAACTTGTTTCGGAGTTATATAGTTAAGAGAGGGTTGTAACCACAATTAAAAGTAGTCTCCTCAACTGTAGTGGCCTTTTTGGCCTTGGAGAGGTGAATTTGCATTTTAAAAAAAAAAAGATATGGACGTATTAATATTTTAAATACAGAAATTTTTTTTAAAATATTTTCTTAAAGCCTCGTTAAAATCTCGCTAAATCTTTGGCACCAGAAAGTTAAAATAAAAAAGTTTTTTTTTTGTAAAACTAATATGTATTAAATATGTTAATACATATTAGTTAAAACTTTTTTATTTTAACTTTCTGGTGCCAAAGATTTAGCGAGATTTTAAGGTGGTAACCCTAGAAATAATTTATTTTTTGAGTTCGAGCTATTTATACTTAAAATCTATTAAAAATAAGATCATTAATTCAAATTATTTGAACATTTCGGTGACGGATTCAGGAACTTTTGGTAGTGGGGTATGTTAAAAAAAATTTTGTATCTTGTGCCACATTTGCGTCTACAAACAAAAAAAAAGGTCTTCAATTTTTAATATATTTT